CAGCCTGGCTCTGGGCACACGGAACAGGAACAGTTCAGTGCTCAGGGACTGCAGTCACCTGTTGGCCCAATTTACAGAGAAACAGGCTAGTCTCCTGTCACCTGCCACACGTATGTATTCCAAACCTTTTAAGAAAAAGATCATCTACTGCCTTTCGATAACGAGGTGCCGCAAACCCAAAATATCACTAAGGCATCCCCTGGGTGCTTGCAGGGAAGGCAAGCAGCCCGCGATTCTGTTAAAGTATGAGACAACTCACCAAAACTGACAAGAGTTAGACTGTCCCAATAACACACACACTGAGCCGAGGCGAAGGCCTACACAAGCAGCACTAAAAATAAACTGTGCAAAGGGAGGCTGATTTTCATTTCCGTGTTCATATGACACTTGTGCATTTATGACTGCAAAAAGGAGGCACGTCTTTACACAGAGGGTGGTGGGTGCCTGGAGCAAACTATCCTAAACATGAAAATGCTCTGGCGTCCCACAAGAAACAACTGTATAGGCTCTTTACATTAATTAGCTACTGAGCAACACAGTGAGATTCCAAACATAGAGTGGAATTGTGGCCAAACAGCCACCTCTCGCTTGTAATCCTACATTTTTTCTTCCTTTTATTGGCACACAGCTGGGAAATTTGCTTTGCAGGCAGGTAAAAGACACACCATACTACACAATTCATCTAGCGCACAATGAACCAGTCAGTAAGAGAGACACGTGTGATAAGAAGAAAAAAATACATCAATATAATTTAATAACAAATGGATAAATATAAACAAAGTAAAATATACAATCGACTATTCAATATAAATGATAAAATTGTATCTCACAATATCATTCATTAAAAAACAATCAATTGACCAAAGTTAGCAGGTTAGTAGCTGTGGGGATAAAAGATCACTTGGTTCAGAAGCATTTGAACCCGAGTAGTTTAAGGCAACACCCAGGAGGAAGCAAGTGCTTGAATAAGAAGGGGGGTTGGGGTTCGACTGGGCAGTAATGGGGCCAGCCCGCTGTTAGGAACATATTCCCCGGAGATCAGGGTTCGAGTGAGAAAGTGATCAAGCTCTTATTCACACACACATGTAGAGCAGGGCCCAGGGCTGTCCTGTTCTCTACTGAAGAGCAGCTCAGGAAGGACTAGAACTCATACCCCTGAGTTGCTAAGCGGATAGCGAACTTGCAGAAGCAAACGAGAGCGAGTTAGTCTCCATAAAGGGAGTTTTTGACAATGGGGTATCACTGAAGCTGCGTCTGCCTGTATTTAATTGTGAAAAGAAAATAAGTTCTTAAAAATCAAAATCGCCTCTAGAAAGTGACTCAAACAGTTACGTGTGACACAGTTTAAGCTGCCTTGCTTTAAAAATGCTTTAAAAAGTATCAGACATATGAGACAATATAAAACACTTTTGTGTACACTTTGTATACAGAGAATCAATCTAAAAATTGCGGATCAACGGGAAATGTCCCTTCACGATCGATAATTGCCGATACTCACCGGGAACAGGGGGGTGGGCTGAAGCGTCGAAGGGGGAAGGGGCTCCCCCTTTCCCAGCCCCATGGCCTCCACGTTGAAGGACATCTGACCCCGGCCTCTGCCTCTGCCCCTGCCCGCCATCGCCAACACACGCAGCGGGCAGCCCTGCAAGGGGGCACAGGAAGAGGGGGTGACCATGCTCCCGCGATCCTTAAACCCCCCCCCCACCCCCCAGGGAAGACGGAAGAGGTGCCGGTTTTTGCGGATTTGACAAGCACACGATTATTTCAACAGGCGGCCCCAGTGGCACACTGGTGAACATTCCCGCCTGACCGAGCTGGGGCTCCGGGTTCAAATCCGGACGTGGGGTGCTGTGTGTGTGTGTGTGTGTGTGTGTGGAGTTTGCATGTTCTTCCCATGTTGGCATGGGTTTCCTCCCACAGTCCAACGTGCTGGTGGGTTAACTGTTTTCTGGGCGAACTGGCCCTGGTGCGAGCGTGTCTGTGTGCCCGGTGATGGACTGGTGTCCCATCCAGGATGTGCCCTGCCATGTGCCTGTTGCAGCCCCTATTTGACAGGTTAGAAGATGAATGGGGTATATTCCAGGACACAAAATAAAAAAAAAAACATATTAAACAGCTTTACTGTGTTAGCAATATAATGGGACTATGCAGAAATGTAGCAGGGGCTGTAGAGGTTAGACTCAGCGGCACAAAGCTGACTCAAACCGGGCGAGTTTTAGTTTTGCCAGACTGCGCTTCAGGGAAGTTGCTAATCCTTCAGTACCTTCGGCGGTACAGTGGCTTCAGCACGTTGTGCAGTTTCTGCTGCACACCAGTGAATTAAAGCACTCATAAAGCACTTTTTACCTTCTTTTTATTCAAAAATTCCGAGCTGGGTACAACCAGGACAAAAACAAAAACGTTTAACGGGCAGGTTCGCGGTGATACGCACGCTGGTTGTCACAGCGGACTCTACAGCGTGCTGGAGATTCCCCATGCAGAGGTAGCCTGAAGCAGACCGGGTATCAACTTTCTAACGCACAAATCTGTTTCGATCTACAAACCTGTGGTTTCCACACTCTCCTAATTACCCAGCTTCATCCTTCTTTCGATTTTATTGGGATTTTTAGAGGGTTTCCCTCGCATTTTGGTACATTCAAACCATCCTTTCTAACAAAACACCGCGTGGCTGTCGAACATGGGAGTTAGGCGCAAACCACAGTCTTGTTAAAGACCTTTGACACAGGCATTTTTCTGCGAGACTATTTTGATAACCACCTTAGACGTGTAAGCACATAACCGAAATTCTCTCGGGGAATGTTAGTAACCAATTATAAAAATGCCCTGAAATATACTCATCGGTGCCCACTTATTATTTTAACTGTTGTGAGAAACATGAGCAGTACTTTGTACTTATTTAACTTCCACAAGTTTCTAACCACAAGGGATAAACACAGTTTTGCCTTGCCCTCATTTCTGTAAACTGTAAACCCAAAGTTTGCGCATTCTGCACGTGTGGTATAAATTTTTACCTTACTCCACGAATCACATAACACCAAAGCCTTCTGGTGCCGCTGCTGAATAGCGCCCCGACCGACACATTCTCCTGATCACAACTGGTTCCTGGCAACTATGGTTCCTATATCAGGGTTACAGGTATTGGTGTCTCATACACTACTTAAAGTGCATTAAACGCGATCGACCTTTTTGAGGTAATTTCGAACTGGTGCCTTTTACAGAATAAAACAGACCAACATTTATTAATTTTTTTGTGCAAAAATTATTGATGATTGTTGTCCATGACGCATGCTAACCTCGCAGACGAATACATGAAGAGCTTTCCGCGCACTTGCTCTGCTTTAATTTTCTTCTCTGATGATGGCTAATTAATTTGGCTGAACACACGAAAGAGATGGACTTTTTGTCTTCGGTTTTTGTGAAGAACTGACTTGAGACGCTGAGCGTTTGAGAGCGTTACGACAGCCTGCCCTCTGCCGGTGACGGCTGGACGTACAGTGCCGCAGCACGGCGCATTGGGCCGCTAACATCCCCTCCTCCGGCAAAGCCCAGGGCAGGGATCGGGTTCGGGGTTCGGGGTTCGGTGTGGGCTGGGAGACCCAGAGGGGGCACACCCACGCCACTTCAAAATCCTCCACCGATATCTCACTTCGAATGAAACACACAATAGTGAGGGTTCAGATCGGGGTGTCGTGCCGCGCAGCACCACCGAAGTGCGTCTCACTTACGAATGTGTATTTTTTCGGATGCAATTATGAGTTAGTCTTGCCATCCCAGCAAGCAACGGGCAAAAGGCGGGATACACCCTGTCCACGCAGGACACGCACAGATACAAACACTCACTTACAGAAACCAATTAACCCACCAGCATGTCCGAGGGAGGAAACCGGATCCCCCGGAGGAAAAACTCACAAAATAAACAGGGAGAACATGCAAACTCCACACAGACAGCACTCCAGGTCCGGGATTACAGCTATCAATCGAATGAGGCGGGTCCAGATTCCCCGTTTGTCGCTTTTCCTATGCTTTTGTGTTCCAAGCACCAGCAGTAAGCAGTTTAATCCCACAACGTTATACCATCTTTATTGCAGCGCTTTCAGCTTCAAACTCAAAACAGGGTGGAAATCCGTAAAATTAACCGGAAAAAGTCCCCCCCACCCCCACCCCCCGCCTTCGAAGGCAGCAGCGTCAAGTTATAAAACGGCATGCGTGGATTGGACCTGCTGCTCTTCATTAGGTGCTGCCAGTTTTGAAGCCGACCAGCCGGGTTAATCAAGCTCTTGGCGAGCCCTGCGTGCGCTGTACATCTGCCGAGCGCTGTCCTTTGCCCCTGTAACGATTTCCCCCTACACCTTTTAAGACGTCACAAGAAAACAAACATTTCCAGCGCCGAACCCACGAGGGTCTGACAGATGAACACGACAACAGGTCTCTCTTTCTCTGTGTGTGCGTGTGTGTGTGTGTGTCCGTGCGTGTGCGCGCGTGTGGAGTGGAGGGCATAACCCGCACGCCCTCCCCCCTCACGCCAGTGACAACGGAGCGCTGTTAAGCCTCGGCCTTGTTGATTAAAATCCAATAACTCCTCTCCTTCCCGGCGAGAACCCGGGACGTAAAAAAAAAAAGGAGCTTTGCTTGCGGCGGCATGCGCGTGTCACCGTGGGAACGCTTCTGCTGGAATCCTGCAAGCCCGTTGCCATAGAAACTGACAGCCAATGTTCACTAGAAGCGCCGCTGTTTCTAAATTGGTATTTATACCATCTGAGAATACAATTGTTATTTTCTGCCCCCCCCCCCCATACTTCCCTGTGACGGGAGTCAGATTTAGAGTCAGACTCTATCCCTGCCGTGCTGTAAACGGATATGATTCGCGGGCGAGCGTTTTCTACCGCTCCCAAAACCATTAGACGCAAATTAAAATAAGCGCTAATGACATCAAAAGGCCTTCTTTATTGTTTTTTTGTGAGGCACGGCACCTTAAGGCAACGAGATCACTATAAAAGCGATAGGCAATTGCGTGCCCGTCACAGATGGCTGTAATATTTCACTGGAGGCCATTGTAGGATCTTCGCCAGTGGGAATGTTCACTCGTGGCTTGTACAGCTGTCTGATAGTGTGAATTCAACACTAGAACGGCTACAAACGAGAGAAAGCTATCTGGCCCCCTTGAGTCCTTTTCTTTGTTTGTAGTCGAGTGTCTCATCGAGCTGTTTCTTAGGAAAAAAAAAAACAGTATGGCCGGCCAGCTTGTTCCACACTCCCACCCCCCTTTGTGTAAACAGGTGCCCCCTCCTGTTCTTGCAGGTTGAAGCGAAGGGGGCGCACGCAGGGTGAGGCGGTGATCAAAGTCAATGCCAGGTCCGTGAACGGTGCTACACGAACACATGGGCAGAACGGGAAATTGCGGGTGTAACGCTTACGGCCGACAGGCACTGTGTAAGAGCCGGCGTACCAGAGCAGGTGACGTCACCGCCCTTCCCTGTGATAGCAGGACTACAGCTACTGGGCTGTGGAGAGATCTCTCTTTGGCTCACCGGGCTGGGTCGCTGCTGAGAGACGCGGGAGTCCCCCCGATGGTGGGGGGCCGACCTAATGCGGCAAGGGCGCCCGCCTGAGCCCCCGTTGCGTTACACGGGGAAGAGGCAGAAAAGGCGGAGGGGGGCACCTCTTTACACAAAGGGTGGTGGGAGTGTGGGACGACCAAAAGTGACCAAAGAAAACCCCCAGACCGGTTTTTGTATATAGACGTGTTTCCTAGCCTCGGCTTTTAAATGCACTTCCACTAGCTTCGTGTTTCGCTAGTCTCGGAAGATTTCCGGTATCACCTCCCCTCGGCACATGTCCAGTACGTGCTGAGCGGACAGGCGGTGTTGTCGCCCCCAGTCGTGTCCTGCGCTGTCTGAAGGCGCTGTCGCCCCCAGATATTGAAAGCCGAAAAGTCCGATTCCCGGAGTTTGGGAACCTGCTTGTCGGCCGTCGGACATCATCATAATTGGATTCCAATTCCTCATGACAGCCCAGACACTAGTCCAACAGCAGGCTGTGCAGTTTACAGACAGCGGCTGGACGTCCTCAGTCCTGCCGCAGCGCCGGCAGGGTGGGGGTAAACTGGGGGTGGGGTGGAGGGCGAGGGGACCCCAAGTCTGCTCTTAGCCATCCCCCGCGCGGACAGGTCCACGCCCTCGGGTGTTTCTCGCCTCGAGCGCTGCCGGGTGTTAAAAAAACAAACGCGACCAGCGACAACGACCCCAAAGAGGCCCGCGCCAGCGTGGAGGGATGCTTTTTGACCGAGGTGCCTCACGAATGGTATACTAAAAACAAACAAACAAACAAACAAACAAACAAACAAACAAACAAATGCAGCCAGAAATTCCACGCACACTTGTGCCAAACGTCTCGTCGCCGCACGGTAAAAACTCTTTCTGTCGGGGCTGCGTCCGAGCCGTGAGCGCGTTACATCATCATAATTGGATTCCAATTCCTCATGACAGCCCAGACACTAGTCCAACAGCAGCGCCTTGAATCCTGCAAAGTGAGTCAGCAAAGACACATCAGCGAAACAGACTGTAATGAGGCGGCCAGGCGCCCAGTTCTCCCGTTTTGGAAGATTTGGGGAGAACCACGTGCCATGGTAGGCGGGGATCACTTGGTACCCCAATCAGCTGTGTCGGGCCACTTCCGGGCGCCCGAGCCAAATTAAAACGGATGGTTGCCTTATCCTGCTCTTTTGGTGCTAACTGGAATTCCGTCCAGGCATTGTATGAATGAGTGAGATGGGGTAGGAGCAGCAGGGTGGTGCAGTGGTCAGCATCAGGCCCTGGGTTCGGTTCCAGGCCTGGGGTGCTGTCTGTGTGGAGTTTGCATGTTTTCCTCTCGTGCACATGGGTTTCCTGCAGGCGCTCCTGTTTCCTCCTGCAGTCTAACAACATGGGTTAATAAGCTTCTGGGAAACTTGGCCCTGGGGTGAGTGTGTGTGGCTATGTTGCCCTGTGATGGACCCTGTCCTGTGCCCGTTGCTTGCTGGGATAGGCTCCAGCTCCCACATGGCCCTGAACTGGTTGACACCCCTACTCTTTTCAAGAAACACCCTGGGATTTTTAATGACCACAGAGAGTCCGGACCTCAGTTTTACATGTCATCCAAAAGATGGTGCCCTTTTACAGTAGAATGTGCCCATGACTATACTGGGGCATTAGGACCCTCACACACTGCAATGTGAGCGCCCCCTACTGGCCCCACTCACACCTCTTCCAACAGCTGCCTCAGCTTTCCCAGGAGTCTCCCACCCAGCTACTGAGCAGGCTCACACCTGCTGAGCTCCAGTGGGCTGCCAGCTGTAAAGTGCAGGGTGATATAGCTGCTCACCACAGTGCACTAAACCACAGTGAGATCAGGGTAAAAACAGAGTAAAGTGTATGAAAGTATAGTCTAAGCAATGCAGAGCATTGAGAAAGCCCCGAGTTATTTTGCAAACCTGGAATCCTGGAGGTGCCCAGCAGTAATCTTTTCTGAGGGTCACACTGGGAAAGAAACATCTCTGAGAACGTCGTGCTGACAGTCACACAGCAGCAAGCACGATCTGGTGTTTAGTCCAGTGTGCGTGAGTTAAGGAATACTACAACCCACACTGCAAACAAATTCGGAATGATAGGAAAAGCGATGGCATGCAGCACTGTATTCCCGATTGAAGGTAATGCATAAATAAGAAAGCAATTAACACCACCCTTCATGTACTGCGTGACCCAGGGGTGACCCGCACTGGTCCTGGAGAGCCTCAGTCCAGCCACTCCGGCGCCTTAGAATCATCAGGTTTGTAAAGACTCGGAGCACGTGTGATTGGTGATCGGTTTAGTAAGGTAGCCGCCTCGATTCAATCCGAACGGGCACGCGGGGGCTGGGAGAGCCGCGGGGGTGCGGGTGTTTCCGTTGCGCGCGACCGCGGAGCCCACTCGATCGAACGCGTCACGCGCTTCGGCGATCACACAGGAAGCGATCCCGGAGATCTGCCGACGACTCGTAACGGGACCGCCGCGCTCCGCGAGAGCCGAATCGTTTATTTATTTATCGGGACTCTCGGGTCGAGGGCAAAGCCGAACCCGCAGCTTCCAGAACAATCCCAGTCTCCAGCCTGTAGGAAATGAAGGTTACCGAAACAAGACACCTTTAAACTGAAACATTCGGCTTGGCCAAACTTCACCCCGACTGCGGCTGTGAGCTTAAAACCCACACTTCTGTCTCTGTGTGCTCAAAGACGTGACACTCAGCCCGTAAGAAAACGCTTGAACAGAGGAGAACGGAACTCTTGAACACTGTATGTGCTTTTCTGTAATGGCACCGCGCGTCTTGAACAGAATCTCCTGCAGCTGTCCCGCCGGACGTAGCCCACGTCAGGCTTCACTGAAGTCTCGGCTCCAGCGAGGAAACCCAGACGTAGGATATTCGCCCCAGAGTATTTAGTATAAAAAACCCCCACCATCCTGCAAATAAATAAATCACATTCTCTGTGTGCCAGAAACCCTTTTTTTAAGTCCAGGCTTTTAACGGCTTCGATGCTGTATCTACCCGTCTTTTAACCTACGGCG